TAGATAGCAAGTTGGCTTGTGTAATACAGGTAAAAAGTGGGCATCACAATTGTCCCTTCTGACCTTAAATTCCACCTGTGGGGTGGTTATTTTTATCTGCTGCTTTTAAACATCTCAGGTAGGCAGTTTATCAAAAGCATTTCCTCATATTCTAGGCAAGGCCAAAGTGTTCATAGACTTTGCATTTTAGGGAGACCACCAAGCAACATTCACACGAGCTTAAGTATCACACAACTGTTGTCATAACTTTTATGACTTCCCCTCAGTCCTCTCATATGGACCCTAAAAGATAACGGTAGTAGTTATGGAACAGGAATTCTGAATAGCTAACTGTCTACAGGTCTGCCATTTACTTAAGGCATTTTATACACACAATTAATTTCCCTCAGTCTCAATTTACTTAAGTGTCAAGTGCATGGAATAGTTCCTTTGTACTCCAATTTAGGAGGAAAAAAATCAGAAAGCACAAAGCTGTGATACTTTTCAGTTCTATAGGCAACCTCACAATCTGACAGAATCACCTCCATAAGCATAAGGTATATTCAGGGAAACAAGAAGAATAACATTCATTGGTAAAAATAATTCAGATAGCTAGAGAATGCGGTCATGCTTTTCAGCTTTAAAAATTTAATTTTCCTAACCACATGCTAAACCTCCTCATTTTCTTCTGGCAACACTAACAAGTAATGGGCTTGGGCAGTTTAAGGCACCACACCTCTCTTCTTATTAGAAAGCATTCTAAATGGCTGGGTTATGGCTAAGAAGTTGTCTGCATTTGCCAGAAACAATCTCAAGGTTGAATTTGGGAGTTCATCCAATGAATTCCTGAATCCAAGCTGTTTGGCTCTGGTAATCTTGGCAAACAAAGGCAACCCACATGCACACATCTATCACAAATATTAATACTGCAGTAAGGGCCAAATTCCTAAAGCTCTGCAGTTCCAAAGATATATTGAGTACATGTTTTATTCAAACATGAATAAAAGCAGACTGAACCACTGTTTCAGCCGCTAGATGGCAGAGATTCACAAGCAATTTTGGTATGTTAAGGCTGGGATGTGTGAACTCTACCTACACCACATAAACTGGCAGAAATTCTCATAGTTAATGGACTATGCTTTGAGGTGCTGGAGGATACAGTTGATTACTTTGTTAGATTTTAAACCCAGAAGAACCATATTCACATCCATGACCTTTAACCTGCAGAGAGATAGGTTCCTGGTTCAAGTTAACTTATAGTTTCCCCAGCTTCCCAGGATGCTTTGAAGCCCTGGGCTGGACTGTCTGCTCCAGTGGAGCAGGGTTGTCCTCACCCTACTCCTCCCTAGCTGGAGCACCATTACTTCTCCGGCTGGCTGAGAAGGGGGTGGGAAACCCTGCTCCAGATTGCCTCTCACAGCTCCAGAAGCAGGAGGCATGGCCAGATTGTGGTAGCCTGAGGGGAAGGGGTGGGGGGCATTAATCCCCACTCCTTGGAATAGGGGACACCAGCCAGGTTCTGTCTAGTTTCCCCCAGCCCTGAAGGCCCAGGCCTAGCCCCAGCCCTGGGTGAGGAGGGCAGATGGTGGGGCTGGGCCCTTTCCAGCTGGCTGCAGCTTGGGCTGGGGCACAGGAGCTATGTGCCTGGATTGCTCCCAGCTCCCTGTGCCAGGCTGGGCTGGGCTGTCATGGAGCTACTGCAGTGGGCAGGGCTCTTCCCCACCTCCTCCTCCTCCTCCTGTCCCCTCACCTTGGGGCCAGGGCTGGGACACTCTGTGCAGCGCTTCCTTGGGGCTCAGGGCTGGTCATGTTTCCCTGCCCCACAAAAGCCTGGCAGGGGCTGTTTCCCCCTCCCTTTCCAGGCACACCCTGGCAGGGGTTTCTGCAGGCTAGGGTGAGGGTTTAACCCCCTCCCCAGTCATACTCAGGCTGTGAATGCCTGGTTACATCCTTCCCCACCCAGCTCAGCTTCCCTGTGGAAGGAAAGGAAGGGCTTGCTGTAGCGTGCCCCCCACCCCCCCAGCTTCCAGCCTGACTGCCTGCAGCAGGCATCTGGCTGCATTTCCAGAATCAAAAGTGAATGCCTGTTCACTTGCTTGTTGGTTCAATCTATGACTACCCTGCAAAGATTGAATCAATTCAGACTTTGGCTTTTTGAATGTCTGAACTTAGTCAGGAGTATCACAAAGTCACTTGGTTGGCCAGGGGAGTCTTCCTGCAAGTATATGTGACACACGACTCTCAAAAGATCAGAGCCCCACATCCATCTGGGAAGAATGCCTGGGCCAGGGAGACTGCTGCAGAAATGAATCCATTCCTAGCCTCTTTCATGCAAAGAAATGAGTCATGGCACAAATGCGAGAGCCAGTTATGCTCTTTTACTTGGAAAACCTGGTGGGTCAGTAATGCACAAGCGACTGTGGGATTAGGAGGGAGCCTGGATCCAGGTACTAACACAATAATACCATTACCAGATTGGAGTGGGTAAGAGAGTCTGTCCCTAATAAATAAAACTGAAATGCTACTAACTTCCTTTTCTCGGCCATTATTGTATTTCAATTAAAAACCTCAGACTAAGAAAACTGGATCATTGTGGTCTGAGGAAAAGGGGTGAGAGGGATGGGGATGGGGAGAATCTCCTCACAGGAATCTGTGTACATACATTGCTCTTCTCTCAATTACACAGCACAATCATTTACTCTTTGTAAATGATTTACTCTCACCAAAAATGGAAAGGCTGAAAATAATCTCTCGTTCCCTGGCACTCTTACCAACCTCCCCGACAAGTTACCTTTTGGCTCCCTCTGGTGGATTAACTCTGCACTTCCCTTCTTCATCTTTGCAGTGAGGAAACATTAATACCTGACAAGGAGTGGAAAAGGGGTGACGGGCTAGTGAATCTTCTCCTCTGTACAGAGAAATGCATGTCTGAAGCCAGGTCTCCAAGCAGGCTACAATCAGGGGACATAAGGTGTCAATACGCCAGGAGCATGTGTATGCACATCCTAGCCAACTGCAGCTATTTTTGGCAAATGGAAAGCTGTGTTTAACATATTTAAATGACGACCTCAAAAATTATTTACTCACACTGAAAATGGAAAGGCTGTAAATAATCTCCCTTGTTGCCTCATTCCATCATCAGTCACTGAATTTTTTTGCTCAACAATCTCAAGGTACATCAAATATTCCCATTACAAAGTGGGGCTGAGCAATGGTGCAACTCTGGGTCTGGCATCCCTACATACCACTGAAATTGTGTTCCCATTTCTGTTGTATTCATCACCATTCTCACTTTGGTGGCACGTACACAGCCATAGTACTTCTAGCATTTAGTCTTGGGACTACAAGCCATCCTGAGATCTTACGAGGACTCTTGAGAACCTGGAAAATCCACCCAGAAGCCCACAACAGGTAGCCACATTCCCAAGTGGAGCTCCACTTCTTCACATGCTCCCCAACAAGTTATTGGCTTCCCATTCTTTAGGCTCAGGATTTAATCAATGTAATCACCTCCTAAAGGAAAACAGAGTTTTTATCCTCTTGGCAGCGGGAGAAGGGGGTGAGGTTCCTGATCAATTGTGGCTTGCAAGCTCAACTAACCCTTATTTTTCCCCTGTTCGTTAAATTTTGTCCTGTTCCTAGGGCTGTCAAAGGAATAAAATAAAATAAAATAAAAAAAAAACAATGAGAACCTGGCATTCCAAAGACCAAGCAAAAAAGCAGGTAAATGTCCGGTAAAAACAAACCTGCTCCAGTGACGAGGAGCTCATGTACATGCTGGGATTAAATATTCAGAAGCTTGAACAATTGCATGAATCAAAGGAGGCCTACCCCAAGGCCCGGTTCTCCTACATCCCTTATCAAGCCTCCTAAAAATGGCTGCCATGATAATGTACTGGAGGTGCTTCATGAAGGGATGCATAATGGCCAGTGACTCCACTCTGGTATGTTTGAAGGGTGACTGTGAAGACAGTTCCCTTACCAGGCATCCTGAGATGAGTGCACAGACCTGTTCTTCACACCCAGCAACTAAAGGGGTACCATCTTGCTGCTTCTCTCCTATGACACCCCATCATTACCCTCCCCTGCCGATCTCCATCCTCCGTTCCAGCTGTCCATGTAGGTGGAGAGAGTTCTAGGAAAGATGGCGGGTTGATTAGTCTGCTCCACAACATTATGACAGCTTTAAATGGCACTGTACGTGTTGTAGTAATGGGAGCAAAGGCTTGGACTTAGCTGTGAAGAGAGCACTTGACTACATCCTCTGCTAGCCTGCACTCAGAACAGTCAGAGCAGAAAGTGAGTCATATGCACCCCCAACCCAGCAAAGTGGTGCTGCTGTTTGCCTGGTACGTGACCAAACAGATACGACCCAGTTGTCACAGCATGCACGTGTATTGTAGCATTTTCACTGTTGGCAACATATTGGAAAGAGTCTTGGAGGTAATTCTGAAGAGCAGCCGGAGCCCTGAAGATAACAGAAATCCTGATGAAGTTTAGAGGAGTAGTATCACTACCTCAGGTCTCATCCCAGAAGCCTCAACACCGCCTGAAACAACAGTCTACAAAGACCTACTCAGTTGTCTTCTTGGCCTATACTGACCTCCGGTTTCTTCATCAAGGAGAAGGCTCATTTCTCACTCTTGCTTCTTCAGGGCATTGCTGCATTTTCCTCTCTGTTGCCATGGTCTTCGCTCCTTGTCCTCCCTTGCCTGACAGTGTTGCAGCACGTTGACCAGCTGACTGGTTCATCCTGCAAGGGCAAGTGCCAGGGAAACGCACTGTACAGTTGTGGCACCACTGATCACAGTGTTAAAAATCACAACAAAACGGTGTTTTCTGCAACTGCTCTTAATGTGCAGTAGCCAATTACTATTCTTGCTGTTAGCTATACTGTTGCATATATTCTTTCAACATATATTGATATTTAAAAAAAAATGCAACTAGTTTGTTTTGTCCCCCCTCTGTTTGGAAGCAGTGTAAATGTGAGCACTCACTATGTTTTTTTCCTTACATTTCAGGTACAACAAAGAAGAATCCAGCTGTAAATAATGATGGCTTTCCAGTTGTGTCTATGTAGTAAGATTCAGTCACACTGAGGTAATACTCATGTCAGAAGCAACCAGGATTTCTCTTCCAGACACCCTTGGAGACAAGTGTAGATGAAAAATTATGCTCTTCTGTTATCTTATTAACAAATACTGGTAGGAGCACATGACAGCTTCATACTATTGAATCCAGGTTTGCAAATGAAAATGCTCCTCCATCCCTCCCCCCCAACTGCAATGAGATATTGCAAAAGCTAAATTATGACAAGAATGCTTAACAAAATGGATAGCTTTTCTGTCATATTGTACCATGTGACAGTCTTTCAGGCAACTGAAAACACTTTTTTTTTTTTAAAGTGAAGGTATGTGATGAATAAGAATTACATATGATTTAAATAATTTAGACAACTTTACTTCTTTTGAAAATGTGAATCTGTCAAACTTTACAGAAATGGTGCATTTTATTGTAACAGTTTAATCTTAAACTCAACTGTGCATATTACATGTGTGTGTATATATATATATACACACACACCAAGATTTACTACTTGGACTAAGACATTCTGTAAATAGGGAGATAAAATTACTAGAAAGTATCAAAGACTTTGCCCTATCCCATCCAAAGATGTTTGTTTACCGTGTACCATAATTGGGAAGGGGTATCAAACATGGTGTTTGAGAATTACTATTAAAAAGATAGATTGTTCATTTCTGTTTTAAGGGAAGGAAAACAATGTTTATGTATCAAACAACTGCTGTACTGAATGCTGTACAGAATTTTATTTTTCTAATTTAGAACCCAATCTCAGAACTTGAGGTAACCACCAATTTACCTTTGATTTGCTATGGTGGTTTAGGCCAAGAGAGTCCTTATTTTTGTACGACGGTTGTAGCCTGTGTTCAATTACAAATTTTCACATACCGTCATGGCATACAGCATTAAGACTAGGTAAATAAAAATTCTTTGGTGATGTAGTGGTTCTTTCTGGCCTTAAAAAGAATGAAGAGGCCATTAGATCATCTTGTCTAGTTTTCTGCTTCAGGCAGGGCTTAACATCTGATGCTTTAGTGCTTGGTGGAAAAGCGTCCCGTAAATGCATGCAGAAAATTGTTTGATGTAGTTAGAGAGAAAAGAATGAGGTGATGGACTATAATTCCTTCCCAACTCCCCTAATCATTTATGTCTTGAAGTAAGTGATGTTACACTTCATGTACATACTTACTGCTATTAGTTGCTAAATCCCTTGCCCTTTTTAAAACACAACCAGCCACATTAGTTTGGCCTTGTCTATACTTTGCAGAATCTGAATTGATTCAAGACATATGGCACCAAGAACATAATTCACCAAAGGGTCAGATATGGCACATGCTTTCTAGAAAAGCTTTCCTGGGGTAGCTATGGAATAAAAATTCCTCCTCAGGGCACTAACGTTTCCAGTACAGGCCATCTTTCAGCATGGAAGATTTTACACTAAAAACCAGTCTTCTCAAGTATACATAACTACCCATGACTGTCCAACTGCAGGCTGCTAGGGATTTGCCATTTAGAATATAAAGGGCCCCAAATCCCAAACTACTCATCACATAAGCATCCCTTCAGAAATGCTATGACACGCTATCCGTGGGCTAATCAAATAACAACAAACATAAGGCTTACGTTCCAGCAATAGAGCACAGTTATATAAGAACTTTTTGTCCTTCACAAACCTCTCTTCCTTTGGAATTATTCAGCTGGCTTCTTTCTCTTTGCCACGTTTACTTCCTATCACTGCAATTTTGTTGGCTGATGAGAGCAAAAGCCAGGATTTCTCCATACCATTAACATATTTCAAACCTCATACCTCCACTGCTTGCAGGCTAAGTAAGAAGAGAGAGGGAGGAAAAAATCAAAGTAATGGAAGTAGAGAAGTCACTTAGCTCTTCATCTGCTCCTCTCAAAGCACTTGTCAGTACTACTACTCCCCTTTTTCAGAGGCACAGAGTGCTGAAGTGACTTGTCTAACTGTCCTGGTTTCCCTTTCCACAGTCTGCTGGTTTCTTCCTGTTTCTTCCACTCACTTCCTGGCTCTACCTATTGCTTTCCTTTTGTCCCTCAGCTGACTAGGCTAAAAATACCTTGTGCTTTCCTTTCCTACTCCCCATCCTCCATCATAGGCCCTTGCCCAAATAGTCACACTGAGGAGGTCGTTTAGAGTCCTTCTATTTTCTTCACACTACTTACACTCCGTGGCTCTTTCTACCGAGGAGGTTTTCTTAAATTTTTTAATCATTACATCAGTGCTAGTACAGGCTCCTCCTGTGTCTCCTATTTTTTTTATGATTCTACAAGTTTCTACAAGGAGGACTTAGGCTAGTCGTTAAAAGGTACGTACTAACTAGGGGGTGGTTAAGCATTTGAATGGATTAGCTGGGGGGAAGAGGGTGCGAAATCTGTCCCTAGGAGTTTTTAAGTAGAGAAGCAACAAAATATGGCTCAAATGGTTTAGATGCTGATGACCCTGCTATGAGCAAAGGCTGAGCTAGATGACCTCTTGAAGTCCCTTCCAGCTCTCTTTTTCTATGAATGCGTGTTATTCTGTGGTGTACTTGTAAAGGCTGGTTGACTGTGTTCTTACCACACTTGTCCAAGTCTAGCATTTACACATGAATCCCTATACACTCTTTTTTAGCTGAAACAGAGCAGTTTAAAAGTCTGCTATAGTCTATATGCTGACAGTCTTTTAGTCCAGGCAGTGAGAGTCAGATTTTTAGATTCAGAGGTTCACGGTTCAGCTATTTATCATTACTATAAAAAGCATATCCAGGGTCAATGCATTAAAGCATATGGCAGCCACTGGGTTATTCCAACTCCTTCAATTACCATTACCCAGTGAAGCTGTGTGTGCTGGTTGTAACAGGGGGAAAAGTTTGAAAATGTTCAGTATGGAAAATAATTTACTTAAATCTACCTTTATTTGAGGAAAAAAAAAAGTGAATCTCTCTCATGACCCACGTTGAATCAGATAGCATCCCAAACACTTGCAGCACACTGGTTTGGAAACTGACATTTGGTCCAAATGGTTGCACTGGACATGTTTTCTTTTCTTGGGTGAAAAATTAAGAGTATCTTGGTACGTTCAGCCTGTATAATGTGAATCTCCATTGTAATATCCAGTTTGACTTACTTGGGTGTCTTTATCTAATGGATTAGCAAGTCTGTTTAGTTTAGACATCTTCAAGACCTATTACATTTTAAATGACTGGCATGTAGGAAGTAAGATGAATGAAGAAAGCCTATGAATATGTTTTAAGATTGTTAGATTTCTTTTGTGGCTAAAGATACATTTGGTCGGTTTCTATTCAACCAGACATTTTTCTTGGTCCTGCACCCCAAGATGTGTAAAGGGAGTGTTACTGGATTTGTTGTTTGCGCATATACAAGATCATAGATCCAAAGAAATGGGTAGTTTCTTAAGTATTAAAAGCAACCTGTGAAGATTGAGAGAAACATGTTTGCATCATAGGTCTTTTCTGGTCCATTGTGATGAAGAAAGAGTCTCTGAAAGGAATATTTGTGCTAACTAAATCAAGTGTCATTCCCACTTTCATTGCAAAACTCATTGAGGATCTCAAAGATATATGTTGATTTCTCAGCTGTTGACACTTTAATGAATTGTCTTCCAAATTTTATAGGACGGGAGTTAGAACACTTATAAAACACTGCATGCTTATAAAAATGATATATAGTCTGAATAAAAATAACTTTTCAATAAAACCATCAGGTTTTACTTGCATAATATCTGGTATTTGACCAATCAAAGAGGCTACCACTTTTCCAAGAGAAATCTGGTGGACCAGGCACACATTTTTAATCTGAGACATGCCAAATGTTGTTGGTTTTGGACAAGGCTCACAATTTTCATGGCTTCTTTGTATATCATAAAAAGGGTATAAACTACTCCTCCTTTCCTTTAAAGAATGTATATTACCAGATGAAATTCAGTGGAGTTTTGAGGATTGGCAAAAATAGATATAGAAATACTTTTCTATGCATTATGTAAGTTAGCACAACTGTCAAAGGAGTTGTGACTGCACATACCAGCAATGACAATTTAAGATGTTAAAAAATGATATATTAGAACAACATGAATGATATTAATAAGATGTACAATACAATTTAAAGCATTTCATTATAATGTTATACTAGTCTACTAAAATTCTTTTTGTCTGAAAGTAACATCAACATATTTGAGTTCTATCAGATACAACATTAATGATGCATAATTTACAATTTTGTAAGTGCTAGGGTGGATGGAAAATTTGTCATTAAAAGAGAGGATGAAAAGTTAAGCACTAAGCAGGGCCTAGCAACCAAAGGATGTTTGGGAATGTAGTAAAAAAGTTTATCGTGCCATTCTGCTCTGCATCAAATTTGGTGTTTACCTTCTAGATTACTGTTTTCGCTCAATAAGTCAGTTGAAAAATGTTTTTTGTGTTAGAAAAACCTTAAGTGCAGTTTCTAAAATATGAATAGTCAACCTGTTGAATTTTCAGTATCTCTGATTTAACATGCAACTAAACTGCGTACATTTATATGCTGCTTAACATATTTTGTTAACTATTTTTCATATTTATCATATCTAATGTATAGTATGTTTTATGTATTATATTTTAGTTATCATATTCTACATTGCACATTAAAATCACTTGAATCCTATGTTACGTTTGGCCTCTTTTAAACATCATGCTATTGATTTATTTTACATGCCATTAATGATTTAATATGTTATAGCATTGAAAATCCATTATTCAAGAATGTCTAATGCTTCCAAGTTTTATTTAAATCCTCAACAGATTTCCTTCATTCTGATGTGGCCTTGTCTAGACAAACTACAGCCCCTCTGTTACTAGGACTTCTCCATTAGGTAGAAGTACATGTTTCTTTGTATACATCAGTTAAATAGCACAAGGTTTTCTGGTGAAAGAATACCAGTTCATTATAATTAGATGCTTTGGAACTAGTATATACACTGAGGATTATGTTGTTATCTGGAACTGGCTTATTTCCTAAATTTAAGCAGGTGCTGCTCAGAGAAGAGGGAAGTTTTTGGCTTTCCTCAAAACATTTGGGAGGAGCTACTCTAAATGTACTTACTCAGAGAAACCTCTGGTTCAACCCTGTGCAAAGCAGTAAGCACTGCACCTTGCAGTTTTTCCTAAAAAGCATTCCTAAGAAACTTACTGGACAGGAACTCATCTTCCAATATATCTATGAAGTGCCTAGCATATGTTCAGTGCCATGTTAATAGTGCATCATTTTTAACTAAACAGAAATTCTTAGTTCCTCTTTGAAGGAGAGAGGAAAGTATAAGAAATAGAGACTGAGATTCTGAGTAAGAGGGACTGGGGTTCTAAATCGAAGGATACTCTCAGAAGGTAAACTCAGCCGTATGCGTACTTTCTGATCGTGGGACTTCTATTAAAGCCAGTAGCTCTACAGATAGCTGGCAAAGGATCAGATAAGGAATAACCAAGATTTTTTGCTGTCTAAATTTTAATACTACATTTCTTAACTTACTTCTGTATCTTATTTTCAGTGTGTGTGGCTACATAATGCTATAGCTTTCAAAACAAAAAATGGTTTAACACAGCGCAACAGGAGTCAGCAGAAATGCTCCTTCAGGTTTTAAATGCAAACGGAATATTAAAGAGCTATTTAACAGAGAACTGTTAAAGGAAACGAACTATTCTCAAACCATAACACTCCATAGTGTTCAGTTACTATAGTCAAATCATAAACAGCACAGACACTAACTGAACATTCATAACAGCCATTTCTTTAAACTATATTTGCTGACAAGAGGCCTGCCACAATGCTCTGCATATAGGCTGAAGGACCCCGAGATCCCAAGGAAGTTAACAGGCATTCAAACAGCTCAGCCCATCTCTGAATGGAAGCCTTAAAAAGTTGTTTAATCACATTAGAGTAGTTGAATAGCTTTTGCCATAAGCATTCCTTCATTCATTCACAAGGGATTTACATCAACAATTTGTGATAATGCAAACATTAACTTAGGCTTCTATTAATGCTAATCAGAACAATAATATGCAAACCTCAGACATGGATGGAAAAGACAGATCCTTCCAGGCTGAGCATTAAATAAACTGAAAACTAGATACAACATTAATTACAAGGTATACCAAGCCAGATCCAAGTTTGTGCCAAACACCGCAAGCTCCCTTCAGTGGGCTTTTATCAAAAGTTGAGTGCATTAAGCACCTTAAAAAAAAAAAAATATATCAGGCAGAGTGTAAAATGCAGTATGCAGTAAAACTAAGGAATAGGTTCAGTGAAGTTGACAATGTGGTAAAAAAATGTATCTTTCTTGTCTCTTACAGAATAGGAAAAGGCACACATTGCAGTGATTGTGAATTAGTTGAATACGCAGCACGCAAGAAAATGTGGGTTTGTGTTAGGGCGTACAGAGTGAAAGTCTGAGGACTGTCCCCTGTACTAATGTATAGTATATATTTTCTGCATGAATATGCATATTAACCGCACAGATTGATTAGGCAAAGCAGTTGTGTAAAAGCAGAATGCAGATGTCTTCAGCTGCATAGTGAAGTTGTATAGTTTGCTCACTAACATGCATGTTCCAACAAATCATTATGTCAATGCAGCTCATTGTAGTCATCTGTTAAAAATAAAAGAAGTGTTATATTTATGAGACATACTGTTTTACCTACTTTAAAAACATCAAACATTTTTCAGCTAAACAGTTTTTGTGCCTGTGAGTGACTTAAACTTTTTATCACTATGTAACCTACTTATAATAAGTGCTGTATTTGTCATTTGGATACTCTTATACTTGCCTTGAATTGCTATGGTTTAAGTATAATAAAACACGCAGTCTCATGAGCAAGACAGTATGGAACAGCAAAATTTGAAAAAACTGCTAACTTGTTCTCAAACAATTATCCAGCTGTTTGTGCTCTTCCGGGCAATCATCCTATTAGACTTTTTAAAGAAGTCATCAGTTAGTATTCAAATGTGTCAAATGAGCTGGGCCCCTTCAGGATCAGCATTTTAAACTCATTTGAGTAGCATTTATAATTCCAAGGGTACAATACACATCAACTTTGGGCTGCTTTTGAATGCTGTTTTCTAACATGCTGTTTCTTAAAGAGTAAATGGATGTTTTGTTTGTTTCCTGTGCCTGTGTTTATTCTGTCAGGTTCTTTGTAGTCATGTGTTTACCTGCACTAGTAGCAACAACAGAGCATTGTGATGGGTGCTGCTGCATTTCAGCGCCAAATGCTCAGCAATATGCTGGGTGTGCCCAATACTACTGAGAGAAGTCATACAGTGCTCCGGGCATGAGGCTGTAGCCAAGGGGTGGGCAATTATTTTGGGCAGAGGGCTGCTTACTGAGTTTTGGCAAGCTATTGAGAGCTGCATGACTGGTAGCCCAGGGAAGATTTAAAAAAAAAAAAAAA